ATGAACAACAAGTACATGCTCTGTTTATAGATTTTGATTGGACCAGAGTTTCAGACAAAGACAGATATCCATTTTTCTGAACATTTTAAATATTTTGGGTGATTTTCATTAGTTGATCAGTCAGATGGCCGATCACAGCTGCGGAAATAATTAATTGGGGATCTCAAAAAAGGTCTAAATGTAAAAATGCGCACATATGATAATAATATTACTATTGTGATTACAATTATGAAAAGCAAAACTATGCCAATCGTTAATCTATTATCTTGACAAGAATTATCTATAATAATTACCTAAAGAGACATGGCAAGTTCTGTTCCATCCGCATTTTGATTTCAACAAGACATTTATATAAAATAATAAAAGATACATTTATACAATACAAATATATACAAAAAAAAATAGTGTACCTCTCACTATTAATAAACAACACCTTGTCTTCTTTAGAAACAACCATACCATGCCACAACATTTACACTTTCTCGTCTTGTAAAAAATAAATTGTTTTTCAGGAAAAAAAAAATCAAAAAAAACCAATAGGGGTTGTATAACCCATACATGTATAAATGTCAATCAAATAAAAAAAATTAAATTTTTTTTTATTATTTTTTTTTTTTAATTATGCCTGACAACAAGGATAGAAAAATACAAAAGAAACTGACAAAATAATATACTTGACAGAAGTGGGTAAGTGTTTGTCATAAGAATGGTCACTCTAGTTATTTAAAAAGAATGGTGGTTATCACCACTTGTCATCATCACTCTTGTTTAGCTTAAATTAATTTACATTTGTATTATTTCTTAGGAATAGTGAAAATAATAGAGATTTAATAGTAGAACAAGAGCAACAATATAATGAAAAATGTCCTTGTACAAGTGTTGATGATACTGAAAAAAAAAACGTTATTGTTCTGAATGTGTGCAAAATATCAATAGTAAATTCAATATGCAAACACATAAACCCACACATCAAGGTATGTGGAAAGTTTTTTTCCTGAATTATTTAAGTATTTCAATAAAATAAAAATATTAAATACATGTAACAAACCTCTATCAGGCAAAATGCAAAAAAGTAAACAATTTCGATTTAATGGCAAAGTCAAATCAATTAAAAATAATAATGAATTTGCTGAAACATTGTTCT